TTTTCTGTTTTACAGGAAATTGTTTTCTTAAAACAGTGCTCATTTTATACACTTTTTAATTGAATTTAATAATCCTTAACATTTCAAATGTAGAGTTCAGGCATAATTTGGTTACGTGTCCTTATATAGATGCTCGAGTTTGTTTATCAGATCATCTTCATTTTATCTTATATATAAATAAATATTTGTGATTTTGTTGATAAAAAAACAACAAATGTAACTAATTTATATATCAAACTCTACATGATTATAGTTAGAAGGATTCAATAGAGATATAATTATGCAATATAATGGTAACATGAAATATATGGAGATAATAAACAGTATTCAAGATTAAAAGCCAATAAAGCAATAAAAAATAGGAGGAGAGGAAGCACAGACCTCCAAATCCTCAGAGGTGGGATCAGGATACATTGACGAGCGATCATCTCCTGTCGACCCGTCAAACCCGCCGTGTGCTCCTTGTCATTATCGGGAAATAACGGGAAAATACTCCGTCAATTTCGTGTGTAAATAATGGTCTGCGACTAGTATGAAAAACGTCAGTCAGTATTTGATTCAATGATAAATTGTATTTGCTGACAAGGTCATTGTATGGACAATAGAGCTTACAAAATCAGGTCTTTTAACTTGTTCGTGAAACATGTACCTCGTTTTAGAAATTTTTCATACGCAGAGCATGCTTTTAATGAAAAACATCAGTCAGACGAACCTTTCAATTCAAACTGCCAGTAACTAATTTTGTACTGGAATTTATACCTTGATTGGACAAGGATTGGGAGATCAGAATCGATATTACTCAGGTTGACCAAACTTAGGTACACCTTTGTTATTTGACATTTTTTACTTGTACGAGGGGCATTTCAAAAGTTCGGAGAACTATTTAATAAAAAAAATAACCGTTTTACGGAAATTATTGAGTTTGATATCATTACCATTCAATATCTATACAATACTTAATTCTGATTGGATAAAAAAATCTTTTGAAAATTGCACCAATGGAATCTAGAGTTCGCTTGCTCCAAGAAGCCAGAACTACTTTGGCTGTCTTTACATGTTATTTTCCTGCTTCCAGATTACTTTAGGAAGGAATAATTCAATACTTTTTCTTTAATATAAATATTTTCCTGAATCTCGAAACTTGTCCGTTACGTTCCTGACTTCTTTTCTACTTTCGTTTCTTTTTGAATTATTCCCCTTTGCTAAACAAACCAAATCGTCTTGAAAACAATACAGTTATGGGAAAGAAGGAAAGAAATCAGCATAAGTATGTTAAAAACCTGTTTTTAAGATAAATAGAATAAACAATAGAACTGTGAAAAAATGATTTTATGCTACCAAAGCTGGGGAATTTGTTAATTTGTTTATTCTTGGGAAACGAATGATGGAGATGATGGAATGATGGCGTCACCGCATGAATGAGGATGGAATTCTTTTAATCTTAAACAGTCGGCAACGGACTCTTTAAGATTTTACAGCATTGACAGGTTGTAATACATTATTATATGTTTAGTTTGAAATTCTGATGAAAAGATGCGCAAACGAAATAAAAAATTTCTGTGACATAACTGTTAAAACTTTTTGGATATTTGAGTAGCTTCCCTTTACATTTAGGAAAATACCGGGGAAAATACATATCCGTTGGGACTTGGGATATAGCTAATATAATAACCCAACAGGTATTTTTTTTTTGTGTTGAAGAACCGTTAATTATTGTTGGAAAAGGTTGGTAATGACACGACAATATTTGAGAACTTGCTTTTCGTTAGGCCTATAAGTTTGAATTTCAGCAACGTTGTGATATATTCATACGCATTGTTTTTAATGCATAAATTTCACAGTAAAGTGAAAGAAAATTTCATTTTAATAATTTAAAACCATAATTAAATGATAAGAAATGAATGTAATATTTTTTTCTTTGAAAAGAAAAATTTGAACAGAATTTATCTTTAGCAAAAAATTTCCAAATTTACGGTATAAAAAATTGAACAAGTTTTTAAAATAAAAGTGTAAACAATGCAAGGAACACAATTTTTAAATCAGATCGGCTGTGACTGGACGACAGGGGATGTATAGTTCTTTTAGCACCTAATCTTATCTTTGCTTATTTTCGGGATTTTTTTGTGTTTGTCCTTTTCTTATATTTTGAGTTTGATCACTTTTCGTATTCTTTCTTGAAAATACTGAATTCTTTTTATATTATACATTAATTTTAAAGATACACACCAACACATAAATACCAGTATGTTTTGGTCTTTTACCTTAAAGTTAAACGTACCTAGAACATCCTACTGTGAAGTTCAACGCTGACTGTTTGTGCACAATTATCACAAACAAGATAATTTTGAAGGTAAACTTCATCTTTGTGGAAGCATATGGAAAAGTGAAGGTAACTATTGACCTTTGGGATGTGATATTTAAAATACTAAACCAGGCTTTAAATCTGAGTCAGATCGAATTCGGAAATTTCAAAAGTTACTTCCTCAATAATTTTCTAAGCTTAAACAACAATTAACTTGCATTATATCATTGAAATATTATACGATAATGGACTTCAGTGTGGGTCAATTGATTGTTAATTGTTTAACGTACATCTTGAGAATTTTTCACTCATATGGACACGCCACCACTTACCGGTAAAGAGCTACAAATTTTGTCTTATACTCGGCATTCAGGGCCATTAAGCAAGGAGGGGTCTTTATCGTGCCAGCGCCTACTGAGACACGGGAACTCGGTATATTCTGTCTCATCTGAAGAACCGGTCTCCACGACCCAAAGTGGGATTCGAACCCGCGACGTAATGATCAACTCGTTACTTCGAGACTCTAGCGCAGACACTCTAACCACGCGGGCGACGTGTAGGTCGATATGTGATAATAAGGACTTATGGAGAGTGATATGGACCGAAGACACAGAAAGTGATAGCGATTGAGCCAGCGGAAAAAAGTATAAATCATGAAAAACCTCTTTAAAAGTAACAATACGTATATATTTTAATGCCCGAAACGCCGAGAAATATATCTAGTCTACATAATCTAAACACTAATATTACTTAGCTTAGTAAATAAGTTTAGAGACAAAATTAATATACTCAAATACTTAAAGTTATACAGAATATGCAGCTTTAATAATATTTACATGTAACATCACTTTTCTAAACAAGCTATAGACTACCCCACTTCTTTTGAAGCAAAAAAGTGGGTGTACCATGACTTTATCGACAATGCGTTTACCTTTTAATCTTTGAGTATAAATGGCAATTTTTATTGTTCCATGCTCAACTATTGTTATTATCATTTTAAATTATACTATCACCCCATGTTAGGTAAAGTCATTGTCTTTGCCGCTATATCGCAAGAATTAATAGTCGCGACATGGTTTACCCTCGCTAAATCGCGAAATAAAGTTGTCGCAAATAAAAGTTGCTTTACTGTACTTAAAAATTCCAAGGATCTTTTGGACAATTAAAATCACAAGATTTTACCAAAACCAACAGCTTAAAAACTTAATACTTTTCAAAGGTTGATTCTCTATAAGGCCATTTTCCGGCCTACGATAAAATCACTTTAAAATGTGATTTTATCTAACTATAATCATGTTTTAAATGCTGAAAGCACTGAATGGATTTTGATTGTGATTAAATAAAACTGAAGTAGTAATTAACGAATAGAAATTCAACAATTGCCAAAAAATTAAAGAATTAACAGCATAAAAACATCAATGCAAGCTCATGTTAATTATCCATATACATGTAAATAGTCAATACATATACATGAAACTCAGAGCGGTTGCATTAAAATATAATCTCTAAGTGAAATGAAATATCGTCGCAAGATGGCTCTGCTTTTATTTAATCACTCGTGTTGCACGATAAATTGAATTAAAAATGCCATCTAAACTTGATGTATTTACATGTATAAAAGTTGGGAACCCCCCCCCCCCCCCCCCCCCCCAGTTTCTAACGACACAACATTAGAATGAAGTAGAATTCTAACAGTTCCTTCAACTATGCATATCAGAAGTTTTCGTATATATTAGTATACGGACTTAAGAGTTCTACATCATCCCAGGTACAAAATGGACCCTAAGGGTTTGATGCTCCTTTCGCACTCTTAAAACCTGTAGGTTAAATTCAGTCTCTGTCCCAGTGCAGCGTCAAAGACTTGTTTAACACGGATAGTGACAGTTCTCTACCTAAGTCTTGAGCATTTAAAGTAAATGTCATGAGTCTTTAGGATCTAACGTCCCGCGTTAGACGTTGGTCAGTAATGTAACTATGCATAAACACTTGACCATAAGTGGATGATCTCTTTATCTGGTTGAAAAATCCTTAAATGGGGTAAAGCAACATTCAATTATTCAATTAAATCACATATTACATATAGGAACCCCTCTCCTCCTTACCAGTTTATTTTCTAAGACAGGACTACTCTTCTCGTAACGTATATCGATACTATAAAAAAAAAGTGTGATGAATAGATTGAGTCCTCTCAGTTTTAAAAGACCCATGCAGTTAACAAAATATGGATAACATGTTACTTGTACGGAAGTGTCCATATAAAAATATGTGTGTACCTATAGGAAAAAAATATTACACAAATAGGAAATGTAGAACAAAGTTCAAAAACAACAACAAATAGGGAATGTTCCTTGTAAAATTCTGAGTGATGTTTAAATCTGCATTTAGTGTCTGACTTCCTCTTGATTTGATACACAAGAACACGCTTTCCATAAAATTTATTTAGATCGACATATTTTCATTGAATTATTTGACTTTAAGTGCATTTCGTATAATTTTCAAAAGTTTATACGAAGAATATCCTAAGCTTTCATGATTTTCAAAAGATATGATGAAGAGTAATTAACCCCCCTTTCAAAATTAGATTAAATTTCTTCTCCTACTTGTTTAGTTTATTTTTTGTTAAAGGAAAACAAATTCAAAGATTCGATTTCAGCGATTAACAACATTTATTCTTAAACATTTCCTGGTTGACTGAAAATATTGAGACATGCATAATTAAAAAATTAACACAAATCGTCCTAACACAACTAAAAGCATGTTATCTCTATCTCTGGTTTAAGTTCCTCTACTTCACTTATTTCAACTTCTCTCTGAATATATTCTTGCGAGATGCTATATGGTCTCTCTGCTACTTCGATAGATTCTTTTTCACAATAAAGCTCTTCTTCATTCGATACCTTGTCAAAGCCATTTTCTCTTAAATTGGGAGCAAATTTAAATTCAGAGAGTTGAGATTCAGAAGTAGATCGGATCAATCCAAGTGAACAATCAAGCCTTTCTTCTCCTTTGATTCGGCTAAAATCAAAGTTACGAGTCAAAGTTTGGAAAATATTATCTTCAGCTGTACCGGGTAGATTCAAACTTTCGCCTCCTGTAAGTGTAACAAACTCTTCATCAGTACCAAGAATAGCTCCAGTGCTACGCCAGTCATGATCATAGATAGCAGCGCTCTGTCTTTGTTTCAACAATAAGATGTTGTAATCACAGTTGAACGAGATCCTTTTATACATGCTTAGTCTCTGTGAGTTACTAGATCTATATTCGGATACACTATTTTCTCTTCTGAACTCGATAGACGTACACTGAGCGGGATTCAATTGCTGATTTAGTTGGGATTTCTGAATTTCATCATAGTCTTGGGTCTCTTCATCATAAGTCCTTGGTGTATCTCTTTGTTGAATATTTTTGTTCATCTTTTGATCGTTGACAGTTGCGTGATCTATTTGTAAAATAAGAGCAGAATATATGAATATCATTTTTTTAATAAATGGATTTAAATGATTTGATTCTTGATTTAAATTTTTAGACACGGTAATAATTTTTAGTTTCGAAACTTATCAATCCACCGAACAATTAATCCTTCCTTTTATTTTATCATCATTAAAGGATACGCATAAAATTATTACTTCTAGACACTTTAGCTGGTCCTACCTCTTGAATTTCAATGGATCCTTGATATGTCTTATTCACAGAAAAGTATTGTTTTAAAGATTCATGGAACCAATCATTTTTATTTTCTTTCTTACTTTTTTCATTATAACAAGTAAATACATGTCTATTTTACCTTGACTAGAACTTCTTGCATTACAAACAACAGGCATTCTACATTTAGGTCTGAAAAAGATATGAGATGACCAGCGTTTTTCATTATTGTAAAAATAAATATAAATTGAAAAATATCTTGTCTTTGTATTTGCCAAGATAAGTGATTAGGCATAATGTTATTTACTTGAGTGCATTAAAAACGCCACCAACAAATGCTGCTGCTATCAAAGCAATCAAAATTAAGGCAACCAACATCCAATGATTGTTCTGTTCTGTTTTATCTGATGATGGTGATGTTGATGATGATGTTGAGGGTTTTACAGATGTAGGAAATTCTGTTATTTCCTTAGGCCTCTCCGATGAAGCATATTCCAGTATACTGGTTGATGCTTTTGATTGAGGTAAACGTCCGTAATCCCGAACTGTAGTAATATTACTGATAAATGATGATGATGATGAAAGTTCTGAAATGTAAGGGAATACAGTAAGATGTAATTTTATTTAAGAAATAAGGCATCATTTTTAAACATCTATCGGGATATAAATACGGGTTGGTCACGAGATTAAATTCCATAAAGCCCGAAGCTGTTTATGATGAATTCAATCTCGTACCAACCCGTATTTGTAGCCCGATAGATGTTTTAAAATGATACCTTATTATTTATATTTATATTTGTGACTAATTCATACTTTATATTTACCTGATTGTGACTTTTAACGCGTGAAATGCATTGTTTTTTCAAACCCAACGGCATGTATGTTATCCACTGAACGCGCGTCGACCCTTTCTGGAGAAATTACGTCGAACGATTATCTATACGCACATCTATGACCTCTTGACCCCCAAACTGTATTTGTACAGTTATATTTACATTTGCAAATGTTTTGTTTTATATGACACTACTGAAAGCAATGCGTATCTTGTACTGTATAAATACAGGTAGGGGGTCAAGAGGTCATAGGTGTGCGTATAGATAATCGTTCTACGTAATTTCTCAGTGACGTCATAAAGGGTCGACGTGCGTTCAGTTGATAACATACATGCCGTTGGGTTTGAAAAATAATGCATTTCACACGTTTAAAGTCACAATCAGGTAAATAAAAAGTATGAATAAGTCACAAATGTAAATATAAGTAATAAGGTAACATTTTAAAACATCTATCGGGCTATAAATACGGGTTGGTACGAGATTAAATTCATCATAAAGCCCTTCGGGCTTTATGGAATTTAATCTCGTGACCAACCCGTATTTATATCCCAATAGATGTTTAAAAATGATACATTATTTCTTAAATAGATACGTATTGCTTTCAGTAGTGATATATAAAGGAAAACATTTGCAAATGTAAATATATAGGATTAACAACAATATTATTATTCTCAATCAGTCATCATTTAGCCATGCAGACATTTAGCATACAAATCGGTCATTTCAGGCACACATAACATGTAAGCTACAAGTATTTAGGCAGGGAGCGACACCTATCCCCAACCCTTTTCTTCCCTTTGATTTCTTTAGATAATGAGGGTGAAAGGGGATATCAAATACTTTGATCTTGATATTCAACATCATCTTTGCATTGATAATGTAAAATCTTAGACGTGCCCATAACACCATAATTGAAACCAGTTTTTAACAAAAAAAAAAATCTTTTCAGTACCTTTATCTACATTACATAACAGATTCATAGCAGATTTATGATATTAAATAATCAGGTAACATTGTTTTAATCTACTGGATGTTGTAGTCTCCATTTCTAGCGTCGAATTGTCCAGATATGACTCTGATTGTGTTGCCGTGTTCAGTGTTGAAATATCCATGGGGGTTTCCAACCGTCTTGACATTAGTTCAGTCTGTTGGCCCGACGTTATAACTTCTGTGGACACTTTTGAAATTATAAATCTAGTTTTTAAAGTTGCTATTCATAAAAAAAACTAAAAATACCAATAAAAATGCATGAATAAAATAGCCAAAACCTTTAAATATCTTTCGTATTTTTCATATATCCCAAATGAAAAAGAAATCTAACAAAATACTTTTAAAATATCTTCAAAACCCTACCAAAACATACTTTTGTATTTTGTTTGTACGTTTTGAAAGTGTTGCATTTAACGAAACATCAATGCAACACTTAATAGGATGGGGATGGCATGGTATTTTGTTAATGTTTCATTACAATGTTGGTGTTTTATTAATGTTTCTTTACACTCTGCAGAATGAAATTGCATTTTGAAAGTATTTCGTTACACTTGTGTGCATCCAAGTAATATTTTGTTAGCATTTCATTTGATTAACAGACATGTTTAGGGTTGAATTATCTAAGAGTAGTAAAAGCTTCCAAGAACAACTTATCTATTTACATCCTGTGTTAGACTAGTATTTGCGCCAATTTTCAAACCACCAGCACAATAGGTCAGAGAGAAACAAAGAGATTGGTGAAGGGACATGCACTGTTTTAGATATTATTGATCCCTGATTGGAAAAAGCAAAATCAGTATGAATCTGGATATAAAAGAGGTATTTATTATTGCATGTCATAAAGTTAATTCTTTTGTATTGGACTACAGTATAACCTTCAATCTGTGAATGTGGATGTGTATATGGCTTGTTTTTATTGGGTTTTGGTTTATTTTAAGATTGTCCTTTAATCCATAAACTAGCTAGCTTAGATCAGTTTTAAGCTTTGGATTAAGTGATATGAATTAAATTAATTATAATACTTGAAAATTCTGTGAAAATATATGTGATTGAAGAAGTCAATCCTTGAATTCAAAATACTGTGAAACAAGAAGTGTTTATAATGTATCAAAATAAGATTGTGTTTAGATTGTGTTTAAATGTTTTCAAAGACTTGTGGATTATAATTTTAAAATTCAAATTTAGTGGTTTATTGATGATTTGTTACTTATGATTTGCTAGTAGTTTGTTAGAGTGTTTTGTTAGCCTCATTTGAATGTGATTTGCTATACTATCGGAATACTTTCAAAACAGTGTTTTGTAAGTAGTTTGTTAGAGTGTTTCATAAGTAGTTTGTTATAGTGTTTTCAAAGTAATTTGTTATTGTGTTTTGTTAGCTCATTTGCATGTGATTTGCTATACTCGGAATATTTTCAAAACACAGCGTTTTGTAAGTAGTTTGTTATAGTATTTTGTTTCCCCCTTTTTTTCATTTGGGATATTCAGTTAAATTATATTTAAAATTCAAATTATGAACAGAGAAATACACCTTTCTGAGTAACATTTATCTGGCATCCATTTACAGGATTACAATGCTGTGATTTGCATTCGCAAGCAACCTGACAAAGACGGCCATAGAAACCCAGAATACATTCTTGTGAACAATTCAACCCAAAACTTCCCCATGGACACTCTGCATGAAAAAAAAAATCTTCAAAGCAAAAAATTATATCTTTATGTGAAGGAATATTTTGAAGGAAATAATACATCTAATTTAATTATCGTTCATCAAACATAATGTTTTTATTTCTTGGTTCATTGCACTCTTACATGTAATGCCTACATATTAGATAACTTACCCATACAGTCCATCGATTGGTTATCGAAGTAAAAGTTATATTTACATGTAGAACTGCCCCTAAAATTGAGAAATACATTTATTTTCTCCATTACAATAATTCAGCAAATTATATGTTCAATGTTAATTTTTCATACCTTTTGAATTCCAGAGTATTCAGCACTCCAGCGGTTTGGATCAATATCATTGTTGACAAATACCATTTCGTTTTAAAATTTACTTCCATTATTTTTTAATACATGCATTAGATGTAAATTTCGATAAGGGAAGTTAATTCTACAAAACCACCAATTAACGAAAATACCAGGAAAAATAAATGTTTAATTAAAACTGTCCTATAATATGACTTTCACTCAAATTAAATTGAATTATACTTTTAACAGCCATATATAGAATGTAGATTTATTCAATTTTTCCGTAACATCCTTTCTAAAATATATAAACATCCGGTATTATTTTTAAAAAAAAGTTTAAAAATTGATCGGAATGTGTTGTTATATTAAAACAAGAGGCCCAGGGGCCACAGCGCTCACCTGAGCACTTCAGGCTTGAATTTAACCCCCCCCCCCCCAAGCATTCATCATTTGAAAAAATAGTATCTACACTACCTGAGGATGATTCTATATAAATAACACTAATCGTAACTTTGAACTATTTGAAGAAGATTTTAAAAGGTTTACCTCAATATCCCTATGTAAAACTTGACACCCTAGTCCCAGGGGTCATGATTTGAACAAACTGAATCAACACTACCTGAGAATGATTCCACATGAGTTTCATCTTTCCTTGCTCAGTGGTTCTTGCGAAGAAGATTTTTAAAGATTTTTCCTATATATTCCTATGTAAAACTTGGGTCGGCCATTTTGGCCCCACCCTTGCCCCGGGGGTCATGATTTGAACAAAAGTGAATCTACACTACCTGAGGATGATTCCACATGAGTTTCATCTTTCCTGGCCCAGTGGTTCTGGAGAAAAAGATTTTTAAAGATTTTTCCTATATATTCCTATGTAAAACTAGGGTCGGCCATTTTGGTCCCACCCTTGCCCCGGGGGTCATGATTTGAACAAACTTAAATCTACACTACCTGAGGATGATTCCACATGAGTTTCATCTTTCCTGGTCCATTGGTTCTGGAGAAAAAGATTTTTAAAGATTTTTCCTATATATTCCTATGTTAAACTTGGGTCGGCCATTTTGGCCCCACCTTTGCCCCGGGGGGTCATGATTTGAACAAACTTAAATCTACACTACCTGAGGATGATTCCACATGAGTTTCATCTTTCCTGGTCCATTGGTTCTGGAGAAAAAGATTTTTAAAGATTTTTCCTATATATTCCTATGTTAAACTTGGGTCGGCCATTTTGGCCCCACCTTTGCCCCGGGGGGTCATGATTTGAACAAACTTAAATTTGCTCTACCTGAGGATGATTCCACATGAGTTTCATCTTTCCTGTTCTAGTGGTTCTTGAAAAGAAGATTTTTAAAGATTTTTCCTATATATTCCTATGTAAAACTTGGGTCGGCCATTTTGGCCCCACCATTGCCTCAGGGATCATGATTTGAACAAACTTAAATCTACACTACCTGAGAATGATTCCACATGAGTTTCATCTTTCCTGGCCCAGTGGTTCTTGAGAAGAAGATTTTTAAAGATTTTTACTATATATTCCTATGTAAAACTTGGGTCGGCCATTTTGGCCCCACCCTTGCCCCGGGGGTTATGATTTGACCAAACTTGAATCTACACTACCTGAGGATGATTCCACATGAGTTTCATCTTTCCTGGTCCAGTGGTTTTTGAGAAGAAGATTTTTAAAATGCAATTAATTTTTTGCCAATTCATAATTATCATCTCTTGAAATAGGGCATGGCCCTTCATTTGAACAAACTTAATTCCCCTTTACCAAAGGATACTTTGTGCCAAGTTTGGTTAAAATTGGCCCAGTGGTTCTTGAGAAGAAGATGAAAATGTGAAAAGTTATCGTCGACGACAACGACGATGACAACGACAACGACTACGACAACGGCAGACAACGGACAAATTTTGATCAGAAAAGCTCACTTGAGCCTTCGGCTCAGGTGAGCTAAAAATTGTAACTAATGTTAACAAACATTATTGAGTCCAATAAATGACTGCACAATGCTGACTAATGAAAAGGGACACCTTAAAACAAGTTTAGAATATCTTCATCTTTCTACGTAGAATTTGACTCCCTGGACAATACCATATGTAGAAAAAATGACCCATTTTTGTACAAATTATGACCTTGGGTTCATTTCTTTCGTTGGGATAGTTGTAAAATGTCTCTTTCATATTTGATTTTAAAACTGTTTTTGGTAATAATATTCTTGTAACCCGATGCATTCGGGAAAAATTAAGCAGCCTTAACATAGTCGTACGTCCCAGTAGCGGGATGGAAGGTCATTTTTGCCGATATATAGAAAAGTAAATGATATTTTATTGAAATTTGTGGAGATCACGAGCTCAAAAGTCCATAGAACAAAACAAACTAGTGCTAATTGTAACGGGGACCGTTACAGATGTTCCCCAAACGCTCCCCAACTCCCTTTTGGTGCCATATTCCCTGTAAGCTTCATTAAATAAGACAAACTCGATGCATTTGAGACTTTAATAACGTTTACCCAGAAGTGTACAAAGTTCATTCAAATTTTGCGTGCGTATGTGAATGCATGTGCGTAATGACCATATCGTCTATATATTTTTATATACTAAATATTAAAGCATTTAATCCAAAAGTAATAAAAAGATACCCTCATTCAAGTGTTCTTTTTTTTATTTTGCTCATTTCACGTGCGCGCACGTGCATACATGAGCATGGTGACCATATCTTCTTGTAGATGTCCGTTACATCTATCAATGTTCTAAATCCCACCCTGTTTGGTTGAAAACCAAGGGAGTTATAGCTGTTTAAAGTTTCAGCCTATCAGAATGCAGCGCACGTACATGCACGTGTATGCATGTGCATGGTGACCACACCTTCTTGTAGTAGTCTAGTATATCTATCTATGTTCCAAATCCCATCCTGTTTGGTTGAAAATCAAGGGAGTTATTGCTATTTAAAGTTTAAGCCAATCAGATTGCAGCACACGTGCATGCACGTGTTTTCATGATAATTGCTATATATCTTGTTGTAGGATATCCTAATGCATGGCTATTTTCAAAATTTCAAAGGATTTCGTCAAAAAATAAGAAAGATATTGAGACTTTAGTTTCAGCCAATCAGAGCAAAGCGCACGTGCATGCGCGTGAGATCTTGCTATTTTGACCATGTCATATTGTCTATGCTTCTAATATATCCTTATATTATAAGTTTCAAAGCATTTCATCAAAAATTTAAAAAGTTACGCCTATATCAATTAAATCGGTCATTTCACATGTTGCACGTGCACGCTCTTGCAAGCACGTGCGCGCAAAATGACCTTCGTTCCGCAAATCTACATAACATGTCTACTGACCCTAAAAACATTTCACCTTAGTCGGATGTATAGTTTACGAGATCATTCCCGGACAAAAAAGTACCCAGGAAGAAGAAGAAAAATAATAATAACTAGACGAGATCTCGTTGCGAGCAACGAGTAGGTCTTCCGTCCGATTTTTCGATAAGATATGATTTTGACAATGATCTTTGTTAAATCATAATGATATCAAGACTTCTCTCCTTTGATTAAATTCTTTTACGTTCTATATATTGCATATTTAGAATGATTGTATAATGTTTAAAAGACAACACTGAGCATCTTTTACTCGATACCGCTTATCAAAATATTTACCCTTTTGGAGATATAAAGAATCCAAGAATGAGCATTTTGGTCCCTTATGACCTCTTATTACGTAACATATTATCACGATTTTACAATGCATTGATGCAGATTGTTATGATAACCCTTTCGTTTCAGTTATTTATAACAAAAAATTGATAAATAAAGAGTTATAGATGAGAGAATTTTGGCCCCTGTTTGCCCTTTATTTGAGGGGTCACACCCCTTTTCTTTATATCAAATGATAGAAAATCTAATTCTGAACAACTTTTATTATCTATCTTTTAACAAATTATTGATAAGTATCAAGATATCAGAGAAAACGTGTTAAATTTTGCGAGATATTTCCGAGCCTATTTTTCGGCTCAGGCGAGCTTCAACGCCTTTTGCGCTGGAAAGATATAGACTCAAAAAAGCAATTCAGCGATCCTTCCTCTACCTTCACTGAAAATCTCAAGTCAATATCTTTATTCGTTTTTCAGTGATTGCCAGGACAAGCCGACCCTCTAAAAATCATAAAATCGTCCATATCTCACGACCGGAAGTGACGACGTACATATAAAAAATTTCCAATAAGGTTCAGACCAATATCTATCAGATCTGAAAGTTTCGTGAAAATCGACCGAGCCGTTTCCGAGAACTCGCGTGCACAAAATCGGTAAGAAAAAAAAAGAATAATAATAATAATAATAATAATAATAATAGAGAAAAAGAAACCGAACGAAAACAATAAGGTCTTCCGTTGGAGACGGAAGACCTTAATAATAAGAAACAGAGTAAAAACAATATGTTCCCCAACTTCGTTTGGGGAACATAAATAGAAGAGATGCAAACACGGACCTTCATAACATCAGAGGTGGAATCAGGTACCACGGAGGAGTGAGCTTCCTCTGCCGACCGGTCACATTCGCCGTGTGCTCCTTGTCATGTTCAGGGGAAAACGGAAAACCCCGTGGACAACTTGGTGTGTAAGTAATGGCCTGACAACCAATATAAAAAAATTCAGTCAACATAAAGAAAACAAAGCTTCTATTTGCTAAAAACATGAAAAATGTGCCAAGTCAAGAAAAACGTCTGATGATCTTTTTTTCCTTATTTTGGCTTTCAAAGAAACTCTTGATAGGTGAACGTGTGCCCAAAGAAATTTATGTATGTCCCCCCACCTAGAATATCTTCCTACAATTCTGTATGTGAAGTATTCATTTCTGGAAACTTTTAAGTTGAAATAAAAAAATGAATTAAAAGTAATGCACTATAACTGACATCAATAATACAAATTGTTTCATCCCCATTAAAAGAAAATGTTTCGTATTAATGTTCTTAGGCTTTTAGAGCAAAAATATGCACATTTTTAATTTTTAGCCGGGCTTATTGCTCAAAGAGCAATTGCCGGCTTATGTCATTCTGTTCCAGGCAGGAAGTCAACTCCATAGTCGCCATTTGAAAGTTACGTGCAAACATATAGTTCTTACTCTCAACCGCTTTTGAGATAATACAAACACTAAATAAAGCAACAAAAATAAAACGAAGATTTATTTATATAAATTATTTATATTTATATAAATGAACATTAGTAGTAATAACTTTGAAAAGTTCAGTCCTAAGTCAAAGAACATAGTTCATTAGCGTAAGGATTTTTGATAATCAGTGTTATCGTAGTTCTCTACGAGGTAAAGCAGTAGAGGGAACCAGACTGGCCTGTTTGTTTACATTCAACTGTGGTACCAGATTAATTCTGATTCTGACAAAATCGGACCGTGGTATTAGGA